AATGTGATCGTCGCTGGAGCTATGTAGTTCATCCTTTGTGCAACACTCTTGTATAAAAACACGTGCGTATTCGAATGCAACGTTGTGTACATTTTTAAAGTAATCGGGCGTAGCTTCATGCAGAGGTCTGTGGTCAACAGTCAAAGGTCGCCCACCAGCTGAACTAAAAACAAATCCGGGCCGGTAACGAAACAAAAAGATTATTTGATCATTGCTGGAGCTATGTCGTTCGTGGTTTGTGCGACACTCTTTTAAAAAAAACGCGCGTGGAGTCGAATAAAACGTTGTGTGAAAAGTTGAAAGCAATTGGTGAAGAACTTTCAGAGATAAGCCGTAACAAACACAGAAAATTGAAAAAAATTTTAATATACATAGCAAAACGTTCAAACTTCATCCCTATTAAAATATGTGAAAGTGGCCAGGAGATTTGGCCATCTTTTCGTTGTATCGGCGCCGTTTGTCTTGAGCTGAAATTAATTATGTATCCCCGTTGTCATCATCTTGTATATCTTCTTCTTCGCGTTCACCAGCTGTAAACTCTGGCGGAAAGTTCTGGTTGTTCGTCCACTTCTGGACTGCAGTCCTGTTCCAGACTTGAGTGTTGCGTTTACATCCGTTTGCCAGATCTGACTAATTTGTATGCAGACTGTTGGTTCCTTGCAATATCATGAGATGAATAAACACACACTGAAAAAGATTATTTGAATGCAAGGTTGAGGGTGGATGTGACTGACTGACTGACTGACTTTCTACCCCACCAGGACATCACACAAGCGATAAACACCCGATGACACAATGTGCCACCATGTAGATGACGATCACCGTGGAGAGCTCCCAGGAACCGCGTTCAGCCATTAGGCCATATTTATGGCCTGGCTATATTGCGGTCCCTGGCAAGAGCCCGGGTGGGGCTTCAAATAACGAAACCTTTCATCCTAAACAGGACGGCAGATAATTGTGTAGAGGGTGGATGTGCGTTAGCTCCCTTTAAAAAGATATTTTGTTTCAGTCGAGGGGTTGAGCTATCTCTCGAGTCATTTCTGGGGTGAGGGTCTCAGTGTGCCTAGGCCCTAGGGTCTGGCACACCTGCAGCGCCGCATTTCTCACCTGGTCTGTTATTTCACTTTTGGCTTCTCTATACAGTCCACCAATCAAGGGTTTACCTGAGCAGGAGTCTGCCAGACACATTAGGAAATTAACCAATAGCGGAACTAAGAATGCCAATAAAATGCCGCCAGGAGTGAAAACGCCAGAAGTTCGGGAACTTTCCAATGCCCTGTAACGTCTCCCTACCTCACACTAAACAGTTGTTCTCGATTGTGCCTAGGTCTTCGTTCCACGTCTGTCTTCATGCCTGTCTGACTTCTTTTCCTACAAATCTGCTTCGTTGTATGTGTGTGTGTGTGTTTGTGTGGGTGTGTTTGTGTGTTTTCAGGAACAAAATATTTAGACACAGTATTTTAAATAATCACAATTTTGTGTTGACTTTTCTGTTTTTGTTTGTTTTTCAATACTCTTCCTATCTATCTTATATATATACATATATATATATATATATATATATATATATATATATATATATATATATATATATATATATTATATATATATATATATATATATATATATACTTTGCATTCGAATATATATATAATTGTTTGCATGTCTCTTCGTTAGAGGTTGTGTTTTTTTTTTCTAATGTAATTATTCCTTAGCGTGGACTATGTTCATTTTGTGTCCGACTGTGTCATTGGCTCTGTAGAGACATTGGAGAAAATCGTGACTACTGGTAAGATCAATGGAAATATGGGTAGAGGAGAACCACGAGAGATGATGCTGGATGGGCTGAAAGGATGGCATGGAAGGATATCATCAAGGGAGCTGTTCCAGACAACCAGGGATCGTGATCTGTGGAGACGCATGAGCGCCAGTTGGCAGGGCATATAATGATGATGATGATGATGGTATGTACAGATCTAGTCCATCACGTTTTGGACGGTCTCATCCGCGTGTGCCTTTTGGACGTTCTCGCCTCCTCACTGCTTCTATCTTTATGAACTTCCACTGCAGGTCTGGACTGGTTCCGGGACTTTGGCAGGCTAGCTTTGAAATACCATTTGTTTTCTTTGACCACTGTACACTTCATTTTTGTTTGTGTTTATGACTTGTTTGAAATATCATGCAAGCATTCTTTTTCTGAGCACAAATGTCACGAATTTACTGTGCCCAGCTGTCTTTGTACAAGACAATAAATTATGTTAGTGCTGTTAAATTTTTTTTTTCTTTATGTGATACACTATTCACTGAATGTTATCTTTGTGCCCAGATACTCCAACTTCTGTACGTGCCCTAAATTAATACTATAGATACCAACTTTGCATTTAGGCGTGTTTCCTGTCATTGATATTAACATCACTTATGTCTTTCTTCTCCTACCCGTGTCTTCCTGGCAGGGTGAACACTGTGTCTTGAGCTGAAAACGGATCATTCTCCTAATATTTTGAGCTAAAAATGGGACATCCCAAGCTACGTCATTTTAACTTCATCCCCCCACCCCCTTACATTCCAATCACCCTTATCTTACCCCACCCCACCTAACATCCCACCCCCCTCCCCCCCACCCTTTTTTTTTTGCCTCACTAGGTCACCCAGGTGAAATGCTTTAACTTGCTCGGCAATGGTACTATACAAATTGGAACCAATGTCGCCAATGCTTCAGCGAAACAATATACTCGCTCCTCGGCAGCGCTGGGGGAGGGGGGGGGGGAAGGGAGGGAGCATTCTACAATGAAAATGACATCAACACATTTCAGGCATTTTAAAAATCTAAAACTATGATATCTGAAAAGATCCCCAGATAAACCTATAAGTGTAAGTAGCATTCTCGAGCTTTTGTTAGATTGTTATCAATCAGTCAGGTGCCATCTTCACACTGAAGATGGCCGCAATAAATCTCCAACTTCGGGTGGTCTTTATGGTCTCTGTGGCCAAGTGGTCAAGCCGTTTCCCTCGAGCTTTAAAGGTTCTGGGTTTGTTTCACTGCGGCGGCGTTCAGTTTTACAAATGCAATTTTTACAGCGATCTCTGTGTATTGTCGTCGGAGCTACGGAGGTTGTGCTCTTCGCGACGCCCTCGGCAGACAGCTCACTGTTCTGCGGAGAGACTGAGCCTATGAGAACAAAACCCGCTGCAACGAAGTCGATCCTCTTACCGTAATCTTTAATATCTCCAAGTTTTCTGTGCCCGCTTTTGATAATTCACACCCTAAGACTGTGTTCGTTTATTTCTTGATGTTGTCCTTCCACTTGTATCGTTGTCTACCTCTTGCATTTGACGTTTCCCTCCAGGATATTTTTTAAAAGGTGTTACGTTTATTAATGTTGCCAAAATAGTTCAGTTGTCCGCTTTTTTTTTTTTTTTAATTGTTTTTTTTTTTCAAATAATATTTTTATTTAGTCTCACTATAACCTCAATATTTGTCTGTTTTTATTTCCATTGAAAATAGCCTATACATAAATATATATATATGTCAAATGCCCTATGTGCCACTGTACATTTTAGACTGAGACTGTTCTGACCTAGAGCTCTATTTAAACTGTATTATTGTTGTTATTATTATTGTTATTTAATCTTCCTCTCGCCTGGAGATCAAACACAAACCTGTTGGGCCCAAAGGCAAACATGCTAGCTTCCGTGGTTTTCCAACTGTTATGTAGCAGTTGAAATTAACTTTTCCAATGTTAACAAGCAGTCGCAGAACTGTGTATTATTACTAAATATGTATATATATATATATATATATATATATATATATATATATATATATATATATATATATATATATATATATATATATATATATATATATATATATAAGAGAATTTAAAGATTTGAAACCATGATGTTAATCAACAAGTCCCAGCTCGCTAGCGCAGTTGGTTAAACCGGACTGAGCAGCGACGGGGTGACGAACTCCTTGTGGTCCGGGTTCACTCGCGGGGGTAGGCAGAAAGGCCACATTTCTACTAAATTTACGGTATCTATCATGGAATCAAGGCCGAATGGTTGCCATATCCATAGTACCGAGCCAAAAGGTCAGATATGCGTTAAATCTTCTATCAAGTTATAATGAGTATACTTTAACAGCAGCACTACGCACTACCCAGGATATTCTACAGTTCACCGCGAGTAGGTAGTGTTAACTATTGAAACTAACAAACCGCGATCCCTGGCTTTTTGTCGTTCTTTTGATCAATCATATACTGCACAACCACCACCCTAAAAAAAATATCCATTAGATATCCCGACATACACACTAATGCATATCTTCATAACTTAGTACTTGACACACACAGCCGTTCAACCCCCTGGCCCCAACCAAGTGCCAGTGTGTGCTCCCAACTCCACCATGTAATGAAGCCGTAACGGACGGCCACTTTTCCACACCCGACCATACCCTATCAGTCATCGGGACTTCAATAGTGTAGGAGGAGCCACCAAGGGAACTAATCAGATACATTTTCACGAGACGAAGCGGCAGTTATCGGAGCTTCTGGTCCTGGAGTGGTTCTTCAGTTGAGAGAGTTCTTAGGGCATAAACGGGAACGACACGAAAACTCTGGTCCAAGTTGTTCTCAAACCAAGAAACAGATTAGTTCATTTCCTTAAACTTACATAAATCACAAGTGGTTCTCTATTTATCATGTAAAATTACTGGGTTTTTTTTCAACAGTTGTATACTTATTACATTATTCCGTTTTAAAATGTGTGATTTTATTATATACCCGTAAAACGTAATTTATGCTGTGTAGTTCAGGAAGAAATAACTAAGGAAAGATTTACGCTGACTTACTGCAGTTCTGTATTTTCAAGGAGTCGACATGTAGTTCCCTTGTTTACCAGTCTGTTCGCTTGTGGATTTAATATCTTGATGGTCGAATCCAAGGATATGTTTATTCGGTGTGAAGAATTCAGTTCTCATGAATCGGCCATGAAGAAAAATGGGCCATAGTCGAACCAGGGTGTCTTCAGATAGATGGATAATAGCCTTTCTTGTGGTCTTCGGGATTATCCTTCTGCGCAGCTGCTGCTTCGCCTCATGGATGTAAGTAGTTTTTTTTTTTTTTTTTTTGGGGGGGGGGGGGTATTTGTGTGTGTGTGTGTGTGTGTGTGTTTTTTAAAGAAACAACAGGTTTTTTTTTTTTTATTTCATGGGTTAAATGTGTATGAGATGCTAGTTCAAAAAAAGTAAAATAAAATAAAATAATAACAAACATGCATATAAATATCATATTGTCGTTATGTGTAATTCAATCTGACGGCGACTACCATGAGCGATCTTACTTCTCAGTACCTTGTCATATTTCAATACATTGCCATGTGCAGCAGTCTAGCATATTCCAATACCTTGCCTTATGCAGCGCCAAACCAATTCCAATACCTTGCCATGTCCAGCAGTCTAGCATATTCCAATACCTTGCCTTGTGCAGCAGTCTAGCATATTCCAATACCTTGCCATGTGCAGCAGTCTAGCATATTTCAATACATTGCCATGTGCAGCGCCAAACCAATTCCAATACATTGGATATGTTGGCTGTTTTGGTTTTACTGAACTAGACAATTTTACGTTTAGACTTTTGCTTTTGCCTTAGGGCTATCGGCTCTCGTTACCAGTGTCGAAATCAACGAACGACGGTCTGCTGCTAAATCACCCGCAGCTAGAATAGAACCGAGTACCTTGGAATTGCAACGATTAGGCTACAGACGCAGAATCTCTTTTCAATATGCAGCCAAACATGCTGGCTGTCTTTTTTTTTTTTTTTTTAAATAATAAATTGTGTTTGTGCCTTGTGTCTTACAAAAATTTGTAGAATATTTACTTTGAATGTTCAACATTTTTCTTTAGGATCACACACACACACACACACACACACACACACACACACACACACACACACACACACACACAGACGCACACACACACACATGTATGTGTGAGTGTGTGAAAGTAAAGGTGCCCATTCCATGCCCTAAGGCTTGTGTGGTAAATAGTGCTCGACGTATATTTTATAGACCAACCAGCACTTGCTGGGTGATAACGCCAGCCGCTTTACTTCCCAGGACTTAACTGGCATTAAATTCATTTTTGCAGAAGAAAATCAGTAGCAATGTAGATTTGCCCGCGACCTTTGGTCCTGCAGCGAGCGTACACACACACACACACACACACACACACACACACACACACAGATATATTTATATCCACAGGTTACTTATCTCAATAACTAGACAAGGCGGTGACATTTAAAAGCATATTTCTTTAAGTAGAAACCCACCCCTCCCCCCAACCACCCTCCCTCCCCCCCCCCCCTCAAAAAACTGATGAAATTTTTCAAACTGAATTTTTTTCCTAAAATACAAATTTGAAACTACATGCATGTTTTTCCTACTAACTTATCATCTTCATCATATGCCCTGCCAACTGGCGTAGGCGCCCATGCGTCTCCACAGATCACAATCCCTGGTTGCCTGGAACAGCTCTCTTGATGATATCCCTCCATGCCATCGTTTCAGCCCATCCAGTATCATCTCTCTTGGTCTGCCTCTAACCCTTTTTCCACTGATCTTTTCAGCTGTCACGATGTTCTCCAATGTCTCTCATTATGTGGCCAAAGAACAGTTTTTGTTTCTGTCTTATTCTTGTATATAGAGATCTACTTTAATTTGCATCTTTCAAGCAATCGTTGTTAGTTACTCTGGCCGTCCAATGTTTTCGTATCATTCGTCTTAGAAACCACATCTCTGTTGCTTCAAAATTCTTCTTCATTTGTTCAGTGATATTCCAAGATTCGCTGCTGTACAACAGAACAGGTTCTATGTGACATTTTACCACTCTCTTTCTGACATTTCATATGATATTTTTCATTTTCTGAAATGCAGCTTGACCTATTCTGCTTTTAAATCTCTGTCACAAATTTCTCATCTGATGATATGATTGTTTCCAGATATTTGCATTTATTGACTTGGTTAGCTCTTTTTCCTTCAATCTGATGCGTTATTTAAAATGTAGATGTTATTCTTTTGGAGTTAAATGTTTGTATATGTTCCCCATTTTCACATAATTCTCCTTGGCAACCATTGTTAACATTTGGATACGTCATTTTAATCAGCTATATTGTATACTGGGTGCTTAAAATGCGAAATATTTATAATCTCAAACCTACGTGGAGCAAGGGAAAAAAACATTTTTTTAAAATCCCACACACGCAAAAAAAAAAAATGTTCAAACAAAATTCAGAAATCATATTTTAGGCTCTAGAACATCTTATTATTAACAAATATGCTAATGTGATGATTTAGAGTCAATTAGTTGATGAAATAATGTCTTTAAAAAATGTAGGATGTTTTTAGTACATTGGCGGCCATATTGGAATCTAATTTGCATAGAATGTTCCGATGTTCTCACAGGTCATAATGTGCAACTCCCCAGAGTACTTCTATGTGGTTAAAATAAATCATAATACAATGTGTCCGATTTCAGGGGGGAGGGGGAGATTGGACTATCTTAAGAGTGAGAGGTCGCAAACATTTCAGAGTATTTTGTACACTGTATATCCCATTTATAACCCCGAGGGTTGGCCTGGATATTTTTTTTTTCTATTTACAAATTACCATTACCACTATGACGACTACCATCACTATTACAACTACTACTATCCGACCACCACTACTGTCACCATCACCACAACTACCATCACCACAACTGCCATCACCACAACTACCATCACCACAACTACCATCACCACAACTACCATCACCACAACTACCATCACCACAACTACCCAACCACCACTACCATCACCACCACTACTACTGTCACCACCACAACAACTACCATCACCACAACTACCATCACCACAACTACCATCACCACAACTACTATCACCACAACTACCATCACCACAACTACCATCACCACAACTACCATCACCACAACTACCATCACCACAACTATCATCACCACCACTACTACTGTCACCACCACAACAACTACCATGACCACCACTACTACTACCCAACCACCACTACCATCACCACCACTACTACTGTCACCATTACCACAACTACCATCACCACCACTAATACTACTACCCAACCAAACTACCATCATCACCACCACTATTATCACCACCACTACTACCATACAACCACCACTATCATCACCAACACTACTACTATTCAACCACCACTACCATCACCACCACTACCACCACCACCACTACGAATAATAATGCTGTAATGCCCAGATAAGATTTTGAAATGCACTTCACCTAAAGGATGTGTTCGGCCGGTTCTTCCATGTGGATGCCAATGTTGGACCACATATTCTTAAAAGGTAGTAAAGAAAATACCAGGCTCTTCCATTGCAGTTTTTTGTTTTTTTGTTGGATAAATGTTGATACTAGTAGGAACCTAGCAGTAAAGGAGCGTTTAGAGCTGACTGATTTGTAAAATTACACGTGAGAGCATTAAACAACATACCAATAAAATGTCTGAGCCATATCCATAGAAGAAGGAGAATTAATAAATTATGCGTCTGTTGATAATTACGTGTTAAGGGGTGTATAGGAAGACAGAGAGCGGCGTTTGGGGAACACTTTTAATATTCGGCGTGGGGGTTGGATTAATAATATAAGTAAATCTCGAAATAAAAAGTGGAAGAAAACACTGAAGAATTGTGAACACCAGTACATGTCTAACTGACCTGGAGGTGAAGGAGGAACAACAGGAGAGAGGAAACAACACCGAGACATGTCTGACTGACCTGGAGGTGAAGGGGAAACAACAGGAGAGAGGAGACAACACCGATACATGTCTAACTGACCTGGAGGTGAAGGAGGAACAACAGGAGAGAGGAAACAACACCGAGACATGTCTGACTGACCTGGAGGTGAAGGGGAAACAACAGGAGAGAGGAGACAACACCGATACATGTCTAACTCACCTGGAGGTGAAGGAGAAATAACAGGAGAGAGGAGACAACACCGATACATGTCTAACTCACCTGGAGGTGAAGGAGAAACAACAGGAGAGAGGAGACAACACCGATACATGTCTAACTCACCTGGAGGTGAAGGAGAAACAACAGGAGAGAGGAGACAACATCGATACATGTCTGACTGACCTGGAGGTGAAGGGGAAACAACAGGAGAGAGGAGACAACACCGATACATGTCTAACTCACCTGGAGGTGAAGGAGAAACAACAGGAGAGAGGAGACAACACCGATACATGTCTAACTCACCTGGAGGTGAAGGAGAAACAACAGGAGAGAGGAGACAACACCGATACATGTCTAACTGACCTGGAGGTGAAGGAGAAACAACAGGAGAGAGGAGACAACACCGATACATGTCTAACTGACCTGGAGGTGAAGGAGAAACAATAAGAAAGAGGAGAGAACATCGATACATGTCTAACTGACCTGGAGGTAAAGGAGAAACAACAGGAGAGAGGAGACAACACCGATACATGTCTAACTGACCTGGAGGTGAAGAAGGAACAATGGGAGAGGGGAGAGAACATCGATACATGTCTAACTGACCTGGAGGTTAAGGAGAAACAATAGGCGAGAGGAGAGAACATCCATACATGTCTAACTGACCTGGAGGTGAAGGGGGAACAACAGGAGAGAGGAGAGAACATCGATACATGTCTGACTTACCTGGAGGTGAAGGAGAAACAACAGGAGAGAGGAGAGAACATCCATACATGTCTAACTGACCTGGTGATGAAGGGGAAACAACAGGAGAGAGGAGACAACACCGATACATGTCTGACTGACCTGGAGGTGAAGGGGGAACAAAAGTAGAGAGGAGACAACACCGATACATGTCTAACTGACCTGAAGGTGAAGGAGGAACAACAAGAGAGAGGAGACAACATCGATACATGTCTGACTGACCTGGAGGTGAAGGGGGAACAACAAGAGAGAGGAGAGAGAACATCCATACATGTCTGACTGACCTGGTGATGAAGGGGAAACAACAGGAGAGAGGAGACAACACCGATGCATGTCTAAATGACCTGGAGGTGAAGGAGGAA